CTCCAGTCCTATGACTTCAATAAACTCAGTTTATAATAAGGCAGGTCTTCTGCTGAAAGGAGCTGCAAGAAAATACATCTGATAACTGAGGAGAGCAAGGCTCTCCTTCCACCAAGTGGTGCCTGTGCATTATCACATAGTCAGCACAGACCTTCATGTGTTTGGTGCATTATCATATAGTCAGCATGGAGTCATCTGTGCTCCATGTTATGGGCTGCACAGGGATGGCACAGACTCGTTCCTTGTCTCCAGAAACAGGTAACCTGGGGGCAGTGACAGGGAAACAACCCACCGTGAAGTCAGGAAGAAAGAAACTGTGTAACATCTGAGCACACAGACAGTAATTCTAACTTAGTCTAGAAAGTGGTCATGATGAAGTTGATATTTGATACAATTGGCATAACAAACAGAATTTTATAATTCAAAATACCCTGTACATATGGACATCAGAGATGAAATAAACAGAGCAACAAAAAAAAAAAAAAGTTTACCTGGAATCCCCTAAAATTTTCTTTCTTTTCTTTTCTTTTTTTTTTTTTTTTTACTTTTTTATTGAATTTATTGAGGTGGCATTGGCTAATAAAATTATATAGATTTTAGGTGTACAGTTCTATAACGCATTATCTGTGTATTGTGTGTTCATCACACCAAGTAAAAGTTACTTATTATCCACAATAAATAAACATATGCACACTACTTCCTTGAATGGGAGAAAATACAATCGAATTTATCCTCTCTTCCCTAAAGGACTCGGGCGTTGATGGTTATGTAAGGTGGGGTTATGATGGTAGCCAGGAGACCCAGGAATAACTGAGTCATGCCTTACTACATATGCTGGGATGCCGTTGGGAAAGGCGTACTTAAACCTAGTAATAGCAAGTTGTAAATCAAGGTTACACCCTATTATTAGCTGGTCAAATCCCCAACACCCAATAGACAGTTTATGATAAGCTTTTCTGAAGCATGAGGCCCCAAGCAAAGTCTCATATTCCCTTTAAGTCCCACTGTACCACTAGCTAACTATAAATCCTGAAGGATTAAGAATGTCCAGCCGAAACCGGTTTGGCTCAGTGGTAGAGCGTCGGTCCCGGGTTTGATTCTGGTCAAGGGCATGTACATTGGTTGCGGGCACATCCCCGGTAGTGGGTGTGCAAGAGGCAGCTGGTCGATGTTTCTCTCTCATCGACATTTCTAGCTCTCTATCTCTCTTCTTTTCTCTCTGTAAAAAATCAATAACATATATTTTTAAAAAAGAATGTCCAAAGAGCCCTTACCAGTATTGCTCAGACATTAGAGCATCATCCCAAGCACCGAAGGGTCACAGGTTTGCTTCCTAGTCAAGGGCATGTACCTGAATTTCAGTTTCCCTCCTCGCCTTCAATCTCAGCACATGTGGGAGACAACCAGTGGATGTGTCTCTCTCTCTCATCCATGTGTCTCTCTCTTTCTCTCTCTCTCTCCTTCCCTTCTGCTCTCTCTGAAAAGCAATGAAAAATATATTCTCAGGTGAGAATTAACAAAAACAAAAAGAACATCCAAGCAGATGAATGAGTCACAAAAAGACTATGTCCAAGACGACAGAAATAGGATTCAGAAAAGAGAGGCAAAATGCAGCTCTGTAACCTTTTAATGTATTGTGACACAATACCCACACACACTCTTACTAAGCATGCCCTGCCCTGGAATCTCACCAATCAGAATAATTTCTTCTCTTAAAGATCATGACAGATAAGAAAAAGATGGGGAGGTGTGGAAAACATCACCAGTTTTCACCAGCTTCCTCTACTTCTTCAGCACATGGGGAACTATACCTCCTAGCCTCCTGGGACTGTGTGACTAGTTCTAGCCAAAGGTTAGTAGATAAAAGATTCTTGGTCAAAAAATTTAACTACCATTGCACAATTCTTCTCTTCCCATCCCAAGTCAACCAAGACAGCCTTGTATTGAAATGTGGAATCCTATCTAATAAAAGAGTGGTATGCAAATTAACCATCACTCCACTACACTAACAAACCATGCCCACCAGTCACGCCCACCAGCCTATCAGAGAGAGTATGCAAATAAACCCAACAAAGATGGCTACAGCCACAGAGAGCAGGAGGGAGGCTTGGGTTTCCCAGGCAACAGAGGAAGCCAAGCTTTCCTCCTGCCCTTGCCAACCTAAGCCTCCACTCAAGGCTACAAAGTTTCAATTATAGAAGGTCAACAAATCCAAACAGAAATGGCGGCAGTCACAGAGTGGGCAGGGGGCTTGGCTCCGCTCTAGGCTACAAAGTTTCAATTGTAGAAGGTAAAAAAAATTCCAGATACCAGGGCCTCCACTTGGGTCACAAGAGAGCATGGCCGGCCTGCAAACCACCACAGGCGCCCCCAGGCTGGCCCATGCCCCAAGGGAACCCCCACCCTGATCCAGGACACTCTTCAGGGCAAACCAGCTGACCCCCACTGGTGTACCAAGCCTCTATCCTGTCTAATAAAAGAGTAATATGCACATTAACCATCACTCCAACACATAATAGCTGCCCCCATGCAGTCAAAGATGGCTGCCTCCATGTGGACACAAGATGGCCAGCAGGGGAGGGCAGTTGGGAGGGACCAGGACTGCAAGGTAGGGCAGTTGGGGGGTGATCAACCCTGCAGGGGAAGGCAGTTAGAGGTGACCAGGCCAGCAGAGGAGGGAAGTTGGGGACAAACAGGCTAGCAGGGGAGCAGCTAGACATTAATCAGGCTGGCATGGGAGTGGTTAGGGGGTGATCAGGCTGGCAGGCTGGCAAGCAGTTGGGAGCCAGCAGTCCTGGATTGTGAGAGGGATGATCCCTCTAGGGTCCCAGATTGGAGAGGGTGCAGGCTGGGTTGAGGGCCACCACCAACCCTTCCCCCCCCACACACACAGGAATTTCATGTACCGGGTCTCTAGTCAGAATATAAAAGTGGCATAGTGGGCTGAATCACCCAAAGCTACAACAGATGCTGTATGAATGGGAGATAATCCCTCAGGTAGATTTGATTGGTCATGAATGAAGTCTGACCACAGGCCAGAAAAAGGTAGACGCTGCAGGCGCAGGATGGTGGCTGTGGGTGCTTCTGGGGGTAGATGTGTGCTGCTCTATTTGGGAGGCAGTGTGTGAAGCCAAGCTGGGGAAAAGGCGACAGAGGAGCTCAAGCCACTGAGTTTTACCTTCCTCCCTTCTTCCTCCCCACACCTGCTTTAGCCTTTCCTGTTATCTTAGCTCATTTGGCCGTGGAGAGAAACATTTGACTTGGGGCTGCGGGAATGAGGTTATCAAAAGCAGTAAAAGCCTGAGAGGGCAAATGAGGCATTAAGTCTACACCTTTTCTCTCCCTGCAGGTAGTACCCTGGCTGGGCTTCTGCAGCTGCTCTCAGAGATGAGAGACAGGAGGAAGGGAGAAGGGATGGGGCCAGAGAACTAAGATCAAATGGAAGCTTGTATTTGGATTAGGAGAGAAGGAGTTATCAGATGTCAGGTGGGGGTGGGGGGTCAGGGGGAGTTGGAGGACATAGATGCTGACTCAGCAAGTTAGGAGGCTTGCTCTTTCTTCCTTCCTAAGCACTAAGCTTGGACCTACCTACATCATAATAACTAATATTTGTTGTTTGCTCATTATTGGTCAGTTTTCTAAACACTATATGAAAGACAGACAGGAAGACAGGGAATCATCCCAACAACCATTCACAGTAGACTCTACTATGAGCCCCATTTCACAGATGAAGTAACGAAAGGATGAACCAAAGGTCACATGCCTAGCAAGTCCAGAAGCTGTGCTCATTCCATCGTACTGCATTTCCTACTTGGGAAGCTCTATTTGTAAACCTGAGAGTCTCGGCAATGATAAGGTGCTCAAGGGGGGAAATAACAAGAATGTTATTATAACCCTTGGTGTTAGGACAGAGCTCCATCACATCCTGTCTCACAGAAGGAAGCCGGTGGGGAGCGGGAAGGGGCAGAGCTGTCTGCAGGAACTAAGATGAGGAAGCCATGCCACCCTGGGAGGCCCCTTGCCAACGGCCTCTGATACATGTTGAGTAAATTAATGTATCTGATTGTTCTAGTTCGAAGCTTTGTTGAGTCATTTCCCATTCTTGGTGTCAATGTCTACAGGGGAGGATGTGGGCTCCCAGGCTTATCAGAGAGACTATAAAGCAAAGGGAGAGGTTGCGGCCTGCTTCCTCCCTCCCACATTTTTGTGTTCCTGTTCTCCTTGTATAAGCTTGGAAACAAGGAATTTCAATCTTCTCATCCTGTCTGACTTCAGCCAGGAGCCTCCCTAACATAGACAGGCTTTCCTGTGCTGTTTTGCTCCAGCTCATAATTTGCATCTCTTTCTCTTTTTTGCCCCATTCTCTAGGGGGTGAGAGAAGTTGGTGACAACAAATAATTCTCCCTATTACCTAACCCAATCACCCCTTCAATTGCTATTTAGGTGACTTTAAATTTGAAATAAACTGTTCATTTAAATTCATGTTCCTCTTTCTACACCCTCCTATCACCAGAAACATAAACTGACTTGGAGAAGTTAGAAAAGTATTCTGAGATACTAGACAGCGAGTTAAAACATATTTTTAGAGAACACCATGTGAAAGGGTTGTACGAGGCTAAGAACATTGCCAGCTCAAAACATGTAACTCTCCCTCAGTGGTGTTCGAAGTCCCTAGCCAGAGGGGGCTGTTACCTGAGGGGAAGGAAGAAAGAAAGAATATAAAAAGCAATGGAAATCAGTGGAATTTGGGGTGTCCAGAGCAAACTCATGATCTCACCCAGAGAATCCGTTGGTAGCTGAGGAACTAAAAGTCTGAGCTCCAATCAGCAATCACTCCTTTGATGTGCTGTCTGGTGGGCGGTTCCTGTCTGATTGAGTGACACCTTTCTCCTAGGAAGGCTTTGTTTATCACCGCATCCTGGGAAAGTGAGTGTTTGTGGTCCTTCATTGTCCTAATTTGTTAATTTGAACTCGTTGTTCCTAGGAAAGAGCCACTGAAATTATATTTTGAACTTCGAAAGGTTTTCTAGAACAAACACAAGTTGGTCTTGATGTTTTTGTTTTTTATTTTTTGTTTTTTGGGTTTTTTTTTTATTCTGTATTAGATTCTGTTTGCAATATTTTTAACACTTTTGCATCAATATTAATAAGTAAATTCATCTGTAACCTTTTTGTGCATTATCACAGTTTAACTTTTATATTATATTTACTTCATGAAAATAATGCTTTTTTTTTTTTTCCTCTTTAAAGACTTTATTACAGTCCCCTTAATATCTGGGCTTTAGGCTTTCCTAGGGATAACTCTTTTACAATCTTCTCTATTTCTTCTACGGAAATTATTTTATATAAATTTCTTTGGGTATGTTATATGTTTCAAGATAATTATTCATTTAATCCATAAAATTGAACAAAGTGGTCTTTTTATATTTTTCCTATGTTCCTATATTAATTTTGTAATTTCTCATTTTCTCTACTTGCAACATCATTACTGTTTTTCGTGATTAGATTTATCTTAAGGGGAAAAATTTTAAGTTTGAATTAAGGTATTCCACTGATCTGTAGGTGGGCCCCACAATCACCAGACCTCAATTCAATTGAGCATTTGTGGGACAAAGTTAAAGAGCCATCAGGCAGCTGGTTCCACAACCATCCAATCTCACAGACTGGACAGTGCTATTCATCAGGCATGGTGACAGATTCCTTGCATCACCTTTCAACATCTCCTGGAGTCAATGCCAAGAAGAATCTCTGCAGCATTGAAGGCAAAAGGTGGCCCAAGGAAGTACTGATGGGGTGGTCATAATAATCTAGCCACCCAGTATATGTATATATATTATGCTAAGTGACCCTCCACCCGTCTGACAGGTTGCTATGATGCCAGACTGAGAGACCACACCTGCTGAAGGGACCCCACTCACTCCATAGACACTGGGGAGGGACTGCAAGAGGTTGGCTTCAGGGCATGTCCAGCCCATCTCACCCAGTCCCACCCTGCCAGCCACCTTCTAATTAATTTGCTTTCAATGTGCACGAATCCATTCATTGGATCACTAGTAATCTATCTACACTAATAAAAGAGAAATGGGCAAATTGACTGTACCTTCGCGATGCCCACCCGCCAATCAGGACTGGGTATGCAAATTAACCCAACAAATATGGCATTTTAATTTGCATATGCAGGCACAAGGTGGCCAGATGGGGCAGGATGCCTGCTATGAGGGAGGGAGGGGAGGAGGAGAGAGACAGAGTGAGCTACAGGGGGGTGCTCTGGCCAGAAGCAAAGACTTGCAAAGGCTTTGGGGTGGCTGGGAGTGAAGCCAAGGGAAGGAAGACCTATTCTTGCACGAATCTTTGTGCAACAGCTTCTAGTATATATGTAAGCCTAAGTGACAGTTCAACTGGTAGCCCTGACATGCACTGACCACCAGGGGGCAGACGCTCAATGCACATTCATGGAAACATGAAACAGACTGATGAATCTCAGAGGGAAGTAGAGAAAGGGGAGAGTGGGAAGAGATTAACCAAAGGTCTTATATGCATAGTAGAGGCCAGGTGCACAGATTTGTGCACTGGTGGTGTCCCTCAGCCTGGCCTGCAGGGATTGGGTCAAAACCAGCAGTCAGTCTGACATCTCCTGAGGAGTCCCAGATTTCGAGAGGGCACAGGCCAGGCCAAAAGACTCCATCGGTGCATGAATCCATGCAACAGGCCTCTAGTTAATAAATAATAATACAAGAATACTTTGTGTTTTGTGTACTCTCAACTGTAAACCTACTTTCGTCCCACCTTGTATTTGTAATGTATTTGCAATTTAGGGAGTTGTTATAGGTAAAACTAGGGAGAAAGACTCACATATGCTTAAGTGAACATTAAGTTTCTCTGTAAGGATAAGCATAGAGCTCCAAGCAGGGATTGGCAAACCATGGGGAGGAATGGGAGGGGGGCTTTCCTCTGTGCACCATTTTGTGCCTTTTGATTTTAAACCACATCAACAAATTGCCTATTCAATACATTGTATCTAAAAAAAAAAATAGCACGAGGGAAAGTGGATGCAGGAAGTATAAGCAACAGCTCTAGATGAGTCTATTGTAAAACTAGCAGAGTCCACCTCTTCCTAGCTCTGTGGCCAGGAAGTCAGTATATGTGTCCAATTCTCTTGGATTTGGGGGTTGCAATACCTGCCATTTAGAATTACCTTGAAGATAAAATAAGAATATATATCAGGCAGAGCACAGCAGTAGCATACAGAAAGGACTCGATAAATGATTATTATTGTTATTGAATTACTTATAATTCATGAGTCCATAAAACTCTGTTGGAAACTCAGGGTTTTCCCAGAACCATTAGATGGCATCAGACTCAAATATGGGGCACTCCTTTCTCTTGCTGAACACCCAAAACAGGGGAGATGTTTGTTTTCCTTATTTCCTAGTCCTTTCCCTCACATCCCACAACTCCACGCTTCTCTGCATTCACCACTCGCTGGGGCACAAGGGCTTGAAGTTCAATGCTGACCAGGGCGGTTTCCTCTTTCCTTTTATATCTTCCTTTGTAGCGAGTGAAACATGACAGAGTGGGAAGGATACTGAAGGTCAGTGACAAGAAGGGAAATCACATGGTGTTGGGGCGGGCAGGGTGAATGAAGAGAATAGAACTCTGGGACAAGCAGGACTCCCTGTTGTTGCTAAACAGGCCACACCTGTAGGGTTTTTCTGTCAAGACCGACTGCCTTGACTGTCGGGGAACATTCTCCTGTGTCCCTGACATAGGTGTACCTGGGAGTTTGTCCTGAGATAGTTGGGGACACCTTACACCCCCAGGGTCTGCTGCAGCTCCCCGCACTGGCATCGGCGCCCGACTTCTCCGGCTGTCGCTGCGGAGCCCTGGTTTCAGGTCGCTTTCCTTTCTGGGATTAAAGTATCGAGTCTGTGGGTGCAGTTGTAGTGAGGATAACACAGAATTTCAACAGATCTTCTTCATGAGCACTGGTTTCCACAGGCTGGGAAGTCCGGGAATTACGATTCCCATGTGTAAGTGCAGGAAGAACTTTTTTGAGTCCTTATTCTCAATCCTAAGAGGTGGGTATTATCCCCATTTTATAGATGAAGAAACCGAGGGGGGAGGGAGCGGGGGGGGGGGGTGGCCTGTGTCTCTCCAAAGCCACGTTTCACCCTCGTGACCTGCCAGCCCGAGCTGTGCTGCTGCGGGCGGGCCGCCAGCTCTTCCACCTGCTGCCGCTGCCCAGTTCCAGGCAGAACAGAACTCACAGCAGCAGCCCTGGCCCGCCCACTGCCGGCTGGAAAGTACCTGCCGTTTCTGAGAATGTGAAAGCTTCTGCTTCCTAGAATCGGAGCCTTCACTGGCAGCCCCTCCCAGCAGCCGGACATGTGTACAGCTCTGCTTTCATTGGCTGGTCCCCGGAGGGGGACCGGGAATGAGGACAGTGGGAGAAGAGATGCATTCACGTACCAACAGGCATGTAGTTTTGCCTGCAATGAAGGGAGCCCTGTGCCAGGTAGTGGGTAAGAGCTTATTGTGATTCATGGCCTAGTGTTGGAGTCAGGCCTGGATTCAAACCCCGGCTCCACTGTGTACTCTTGGGGAAGTTATTTAATCTCTTTGAGACTCGGTTTCTTCATCTATAAAATGGGGATAATACCCACCTCTTAGGATTGAGAATAAGGACTCAAAATGGTAACACAGGAAAAACACTTGGCACAGTTCCTATTCGCATTAAACATATAAACAGCAGTTATTATCCATTTTTTATTAACGTTGTTAATTATGGCCCTGAGCTCTGCCCCTCCGGGCGCTGGTGGGAATGGGGAAGGACTGGGGACTGTCCGTCCGTGTGGCTGGCACAGCTCTCAAACACATAAAGCACCAGCAGGAGGCGGAAACGCAGCGAAGGTCACCTCTGGGAGGTGGAGCAGTCAGCCTACTTCTCTGTGTGAGTGTGTGCAGCTTAGATCACAAGGAACGTATTTAAAATACATTGATTCTGCACAGTACCCGGCCGCAGCAGGCCCTGCGCTGCTCTTCAAGGAAATAAGGTCGCTGGGCACACAGCAGCCCCCTCCGCAGACAAAGGCACGCGTGGTCCAAATCTGCATCACGGAGCTACGGGGCTGCAGGGAGGTGCAGCCCGGGAGGCTCAGAGCGCGCTGCTCCTCCGAAGGCCGCAGGGGCCAGTGGCGGGCCTCAGTCCTCCAAGCCCTCCAAGCCCTCCAGCTGCTGCGCCAGGCGGGAGTAGAGGTCCTGGCCCGCCCGGAGCTGCTCGGGCTCCAGCAGCTGCCCCTGCCGCAGCACCAGGACCTGGTCGGCGCGCTGCACCGTCTGCAGCCTGTGCGCGATCACCAGCACCGTGCGGTCCTTACGGCAGCGCCAGTCCTGCAGCTGCAGGGGTCCCAGCCTCAGGAGGGCGCCGCACCCCGGCGCGCCCCTGCGGTTTAGGGTCCCGAAGGGGAGAAAGCCAAGGGGCAGGAGAGGGACCCACAAAGGCCGCACTGCCCCCTCAGCCGCAGGCCGCAGCGCGAGACTGCCCCACAGCAGCACGCTCCCCCTCTCATCCCCCCCCAGGAAGCACGGTGCTCCGCCCTCGGGGCCCTGCCCGCAGGCCCGCCCGCACTCACCGCCTGTTCGCACTCCACGTCCAGGGCGCTGGTGGCTTCGTCCAGGATGAGCACGCGAGGGTCCCGCACGAGGGCCCGCGCAATGGCCAGGCGCTGCTTCTGCCCCACGGCCAGCAGGCTGCCCTTCTCCCCTATGTCTGAGGGCCCCGAAACGCCGCCTTCACTTACAGGTACCCCGACCCTCCCTACCCTCCCGCAAGCCGGGCCGCACCGCTGAGTGCCTGGGAGAGGGGGGCGCCGGGGAGGGCGGGGGGCCCGGGGAGGCCAAGGAGCAGAGCCGGCGCAGCTACAGGGGCGCCGCCCTCACCCACAAAGCAGCCCCCTGGTTAGAGGGTACCTGAGTGCAGTCCCTGCGGCAAGTCCCGGATGAACTCATCCGCTCGAGCCGCGCGGGCCGCCTCCAGCACCTCCTCGTCGCTGCAGCGCTGCAGCCCGTAGGCGATGTTGTCCCGCACGGAGCCCGAGAACAGCACGGGCTCCTGCCCAACCACAGCCACCTGTGCGGGAGCGGCGGCCTGGCACCGGGCGGGTCTCCTCCCCCGGACGTCCCCCAGGACCGTGCCCTCTGCACCCGCCCCATTCCCTCCCCCCCCCCCCCGCGCCCCGCCGCCCCACCTCCTACTCCCCCCCCCCCCCCGCTCCCCGCCTTCCTCCCACGCACCTGCCGGTGCAGGTAGCGGTGCTCGTACTGGGCCAGGGGCGCCCCGTCCAGCAGCAGCGCCCCCGCCGTGGGCTGGTACAGGTTCTGCAGCAGCGCCGCCACCGTGCTCTTCCCCGAGCCGTTGGGCCCCACCAGCGCCGTCATCTGGCCGGGGCGCAGGGTGAACGTCAGCCCCTGGGGAGGCAGGAGAGACTGAGGGCCTCTTCCCCTCAGAGGCCGGGCCGCCCCCCTCCTCACCCCACCTCCCAGCACCTGCGGGTCCGCCCGAGGCCTGGCGGCCAGGGCAGCCGCACCTTGAGCACCGGCTGGTCCGGGCGGTGCGGGTAGGCGAAGCTCACATCCTGGAATTCCACCAGGCCGCGCAGCGCGGGCGGCTCCAGCGTGCCGGGCGGAGGCAGATTCGGCTGCCGGTCCAGGTAGCGGAACACCTTCTCGGCGGCGCCCACGTTGCTCAGCATATCCCCGCACATGTACACCAGGGTCTGGGAGACAGGAGGGAGGTTCAGCCCCCCGAAACCAGCCTCTGCTGCGCACCCGCTCTGCCACGCCCCACACCCCCAGCCACACTCCCCTCGTCCAGGCAAGTGTCCACCTTGAAAGGTGATCTACAAGCCACGCCAATGCCCCCGTTCCCGCCCGGCCGCTCCCAGTCCCGCTGTGGGTGTGCTGGTGCCCAGACCAGCCCCGGAGGCAGGGCGTGCTTACAGGGGCCCTGTGCCCACCCACCTCCGCAGGCCTCCACACACACAATGCTCAACCAACGTCTGCGGAATTCACAAAATGAAGCCAGGATGAAGTGATGAACTGTTATTGAAACCCGCTCAGTCCAGGCAAAGAGCTAAACGCTCCTTCTGCCTTTTCTAGTCACACCACACGGCTGGGCACCAAGCAGTGGGGACGTGATGGGATGGCAGAGTCACTGCTTTGCAGCCCGGGGCTGATGCACCACAGCTCCATCAGAGAGAGGGAATGTACGGGTACACCCACTACATGTATGACTCAAGTGCAGACTGAGCACTGATTACCGTATTTGGTGAATTTTAGGAATCATTGTTAATTTTTCAGGTGCGAGATATATATATATATATATATATATATATATATATATATATATATGTATGTATATATATGTATATATATATGTGTATATATATATGCACACACACGCACTTTTATTGATTAGAGAGAGAGAGAGAGAGAGAGAGAGAGAGAACAAGATGGGCATGAACTGGCCCTTGCTGAAGCGGGTGATGGGTACATACGGGTCATTAAAGTCTGTCCGTGGGGAGGGGAGGGGATGTTTTAAATTCTTCATATCACAATGAGCTGGGATTTTGTTTTGTATTTTTAAGGAGAACCAATAAATCCCAAGGCCCAGAGGCCAGAGAGAACACAGAGGGATGGAGAGAGCATGCGCGCTGCTGATGCACCTGCACGTGGTGGCCCACGTCCTCCTGGAACAGCAGGAAGGAGAGCAGCCCGCCCCGCGTGAGGTCCCCCGCCAGGATCTGCCGCAGCCCGCAGCTCAGCATCAGCACCTGCATGGCCAAGTGCAGCATCTGGAGGGAGGAGAGAGGCAGCGCTGAGAGACTCCTCCCGTCCCCTCCCACCCAGCCCCGCCCTGGGCGCCCCCTCCCACCCAGCCCCGCCCTGGGCGCCCCCTCCCTCCAACCACCACACCCAGCCCCGCCCCCAGGCACCCTGCTCACCCTTTGGAAGAGCAGGTAGAGGGCCCTCTCCAGGTCTCGCTGCCACCACAGCTTCCGGCACCGTTCCAGGGCCTCCTCGTAGCGACAGGCCTCGTGCTCCTCAGCCCCAAAGCTGCGCACAGTCTTCAGCCCTCCAACTGCCTCCCGCACCACCTGCCCCGCCTGCGCCACCGCGTCCTGGATCTCCAGAAGCACCGCCTGGGAACGCGGAGGACATGCAGGGGTTCGCAGGCAGAAGGCAGCATCCCAGCCCCACGTCCCGTCTACCTAGGAGCACAGCCCTCTTCTTCCCTCTCCCTTACATTTCCCGGAGGAAATGCGTGAGGAGGGAGGGGACAAGGGAGCACGCACTCTCGCGCTGGTGAGTGTAGGGCACACTATTTCCCTTTACTTGAGCTCACACACACACACACACACACACACACACTCTCACACGCACACACTTGTCTAAACAAGAGAGGTGGGGTTGTTTCCCTAGGAGCCATGGCTACTTCACAGAAGGTGGAGATGTAACTTAACATGGACCACAGACCAACCCCTGGTGCCTTGGCATGGCTCAGCAGCTGACTGCTGATCTATGAACCAGGAGGTCATGTTCAATACAGGTCAGGGCACATGCCTGAGTTGCAGGCTCCATCCTCAGTAGGGAGCCTGCAGGAGGCTGCCAATCAATGATTCTCTCTCATCGTTTATGTTTTTTCTCTCTCTCTTTCTTTCTCTCTCTCTCTCCCTTCTCCTCTGAAATCAATTTTTAAAAATTTTATTTTTTAATGGACCAAAGACCTATACCTAAGAGCTAAAATTATAAAACTCTTAGAAGAAAACACAGGGAAAGCACAGGACACAGGATTTGGCAATGGTTTTTTTGGATATAACACCAGATGCACAGATAACAAAATAAAAAATAGACAAATTGGACTTCATCAAGATGAAATAGACAAATTGGACTTCATCTCCTTTTGTGCAACAAAGGACGCTATCAATAGAGTGGAAAAGAAATGCACAGAACTGGAGAGAACATTTGCTTATCACGGATGAAAGGACAGAACACAGAATATACAGAGAACTCCTACAACTCAACAACTTAAAAACAACCCACTCTTAAAACATTCCTCCAAAAAAGATATAAAAATGGCCAATAAGCATGTGCTCAACGACACTAATCATTAGGAAAATGCAAATCAAAACCAGTGAGATATCACCTCACAGCCATTGACAGTTATTACTTTTTAAGTAAATATATAAATGCATGTTATTCTACCATTAAAAAAGGAAATCTACCTTTTTGTCATAACATGGGCCTTGGCAACATTATGCTAGGTGAGATGTCAGAGAGGGCAAAGACAAAAACTGTATGAGCTCATTTATAAATGGAATCTAAAAAAAAACAAACAAACAAAAAAAAAAAACCCACCAAATTCAAAGAAAAAAGATCAGATTTGTGGTTACCAAAGGCTGGTGTAGAGGGCAGGAAAATTGGATGAAGTGGTCAAAATTCCAATCGTAAGATAAATAAGTGCAAGGAATGTAATTTTATAAAACACAGAAGATAACAAGTGTTGGCCAGAATGTGGAGAAACTGAACCCCTGTGCATTGCTGGTGGGAACATAGTGCAGTGGCTGGGAATACAGTACGGTGGCTCTTCAAAACATTAAACATAAGGTTACCATGCAATCCAGCATTCTACCTCTGAGTATACGCCCAAAAGAACTGGAAGCAAGGATGCAAACAGACATTTGTATTTTTGTGTTCCTAGCAACACTATTCACAATAGCCAAAGGATGGAAGCAACCCCAGTGTCCATCAACAGATGACTGGATAAACAGACTGCTGTCTGCACCGATGGAATATTACTCAGCCTTAAAGGAGAAAGACCACCAGGCCAGCTTGGCTCAGTGGTTGAGCATTGACCTATGAACCCGGAGATCACTATTCCATTCCTGGTCAGGGCACATGCCCGGGTTACAGACTTAATCCCCAGTGTGGGGTGCGCGACAGGCAGCCAGATCCATGATTCTCTCGCATCGTTGATGTTTCTATCTCTCTCTCCCTCTTCCTTCCTTTCTGAAATCAATAAAAATATTTTTTTTTAAAAAAAGGAGAAAAATTCTGACACATGCTACCACATGGATGAACCCTGAGGACATTATGCTAAGTTAAGTAAGCCAGTTGCGAAAAGACAAACACTGTATGAACCCACTGATAGGATACCTACGTAATCAAACCCACAGACAGAAAGCACATGGTGGCTGCCAGGGCCAGAGGAAGGAGGGATGGGGATTTATTGTTTAATGGGTTGGAGTTTCCACTTGAAAAGAGCTCTGCAGAGCACAGTGGTGATGGTTGTGAGACAGGTCAGTAAGCCATGTCATGTGGGAAGGGGAAACTGAGGCAGGGAGCTGGACATGCTGCAGAGCAATGTACAGCAGATGCAGAAGGTCGCCTCCCTAGAGACAGCATCTAGGCCTCAGCTGTGTTTCAGCCTCAGGCTCACAAAGACAGCTCCAGGTGGGCAAAGCCAGGACCAGCTGCGATGCCTGATGACTCCCTGCCCTGACACTGACCAGTTGGTGGAGACCATGGCCCTGAGGAACCCTACCTAGAAAACTGATGAGTATTCTGCTGAACACACCCCCAAAAACTGGAGACCTCCCCTAAGATTCCTTCCTGTGAGAAGATAAAGCCTCAAGACAAAGGACCCCGTGTGGGCTCTCCCTCTGGGGAACAGACGGCCATACCCTTTCCCCTCTTCTTCCCCCACTTCTCCCCCCAGCCAGCCCCCACAGGCGTGCATCTCCTAAACCCTAAAGGGCCCCAAAAGGCTTGCAACCAGGGAGCAATGGGCAGCTAACCCTGAACTGCCCCCAAGGCCCCCTTGTCTCTGACTCCCTGAGAGTTAGGGCAGCCCAGCAGGGGCTCTCCTGTAACTTCTTCTAGGCTAGGCCCTTCATGTTTTATGCCCGCAGCTCTAATAGACGTTCCCTCACAGCGACCTGGACTCACGTTGTAAAACGTTTCCTGCATGAAGGCAAGAACCCATACACTGCTGGCCAGTCTCGAGCAGACCTGCTCGGGGCCAGGTCCCCTTTCTGGTAACGGTGGTACATCAGTGTGAATGTGTTTAATGCCACCGAAATGGCATTTTTTAAAAACATATTTCTATATTGGTTTCAGAGAGGAAGGGAGAAGGAGAGAGAGATAGAAACATCAATGATGAGAGAGAATCATTGATCGGCTGCCTCCTGCACACCCCCTACTGGGGATCGAGCGCACAACCCAGGCATGTGCCCTTGGCCAGAATCGAATCGAACCTGGGACCCTTCAGTCTGCAGGCTCACGCTCTATCCACTGAGCCAAACTGGCTAGGGCTGAAATGGCATTTTAAAATGGTGAGAAATGGTAATTTTCTATGTTATACACATTTCCCACAATTTTTTTAGAAGAGAGAGATGGGGCTAACATGATCACACACTCTACCTGCTCCACACTCCTGCTGATTACAAGGGGAAAGCTCTGCCTAAACCTTCAAGGCGGCAGTTTTAGTTTTTTGTGGGGAAGTTACGTGCACACTCCGCTGAGAACCTGATGGAAATTACCCTCTCCTCAGAAAAAGGTGCCTTCCCTCCCTCCTCTCTCTCCTTCACCTCCCCCCCAACACACACACACACACTCTCTCTCTCTCTCTCTCTCTCTCTCTCTCTCTCTCTCTCTCTCACACACACACACACACACACACACACACACGCACGCGCGCGCACACACACACACACACACACACACACGCACGCGCGCGCACACACACACACACGCACATATAGTCCCAGGGGTTGTGGACCTTCTGAAGCTGTCAGAACTGTTGCCCTGAGGGCTGAGGAGAGACCTCTAGGACTGGTTCTTCCCTAACCGCCACGCATACCTGATGGCGGCCATTGTACACCTTTTCAGCTGCCATTGTGAGAGGCATCTCGAACAGAGACAGGAGGGTGAGTCGAGGCGACAGGTTGAGCATGAAGCTGTACAGTCCCAGCACCTTCACCAGGCTCCGCAGGAGCACGTTGGCATTAAGAGGAAGCCAGGAGCTCATCAGTTTGGTATCTGAGTTCAGCCGTGAGTTCAGCTCCCCTGGGAGGACAGAGCAGGTGAGCGAGCCCCGTGCAATGTAGACCCAGCAACTGCCCCTGTCCCTCCCCCTGACACAGCCCCTCCTCTGAGCACCTCCTCCACGTGCAGGCCAGGGGGCAGGCTGTGTGCAGTGGAGGGAAAGCCCTCCAGGCCCCAGCGGTCTTAGTCTCCTGGACTCCAGGCCCCACCTGTCTTAGTCTCCTGGACTCCAGGCCCCACCTGTCTTAGTCTCCTGGAAGAAACTCAGGTCCTGGTGCAGCAGGGAGGAGAAGAGCTGCTCCCGGACCCGCAAGTTGATCCTGGACATGGTGAAGAGGAAGCAGCCTCCTCGGCAGCCGGCGGACAGCGAGCTGTGGGGTCAGGAGGGATGGGACGGGGAAGGGGACCGAGAAGGAGGGAGGGAATGAGTGAGGGAAACAAAGGAGAAAGCACAGAATGACAAGAAATGCAAAGTTGGGGGAAGTATACCAGGTCAGGCAGGAGAGAAATGAACCAGACAAGGACAGTGGCAAGAGGGGCAGAAATAAGCAGAGGACGGGAAAGGAAAAAAAAAAAAAAAAGAAGAAGAAGAAGAAGAAGAAGAAGAAGAAGAAGAAGAAGAAGAAGGAGGAGGAGGAGGAGGAGGAGGAGGAGGAGGAGGAGGAGGAGGAGGAGGAGGAGGAGGAGGAGGAGGAGGAGGCGGCATGGTGAGCAATACTGCAGAACCAAATCCTAACTCGTACAAATTCACCAGTATTGATGCCACACGCAAGGGAAGAACACAACAGAAGTGAGGAGATGTTGTAAATAGAGATCAGCTGTGACTGCCTGGCCTCCCCCAGCTATCCCTCCAGGCTATCCCTCCAGGCTTCCCCTCCGGCTCAGTCTCCTTTCCCCCCACCCAAAGTCCTTCCTCCTCAGCCTGGGTACTGACTTCTCTGAGGGAACCGCCCTCACAAGCCCTGTCTTGTTGTTCCCCACTCTACAGGCCCTGGAGTTGGACAACTCCTCTTGGACCAACCTGATATCCTAAATAATAAAAGGCTAAAATGCAATTTGTCCTCCAGGAGTTCCACCCACTGGGAGCTTGACTGTTTGCTATGATGTCTGTTGACCACCAGGGGGCGGCAAAGAACGAAAGGAGGCCCTGACCAGCAGCCAGAAACCTCTCCCCATCCCCATCAGCTCTGCTCACTGCCCAGGCCTAGGGACCCTGCCTGTGCACGAATTTAATGCACCAGGCCTCTAGTTTACAATAAAATGTGAAGGGGAAATGTGAAAGCATGGAAGTGGGTATTTTACAAAATATGGGTTTCTCATACAAATCTAGTACCGCACCAGGTTTGAGAGGCTGTTGGGATATAGTCAATTACAAAATGATGAGGGTTTGGATTTTGACCACAGTGAGGACAAAGAGAAAAGAGCCACAGAGAAACACTGTGAAAGCAGAAAACAACATGGCTGGTTCTGAGCACGAGGAAGGCATCCCTGATGCTGATGCTGGAGCCCAGGGGACTGATGCTCTCAGGAAGGGGAACAAGCCCAGGAGGGAGGGTGAAGCATCCGGAGCCCCTGCCGGGTATGTGGAGTGGGAGGTGAGAGTGGGCACCTGGGTTACAAGGCTGGAGCTGGGCACGGAGGTGTGGATCTTGGAGTCACCTACAGAGAGGAACTGAGTCAGCTCAGTGGGAAGAATGTCCTTCAAGATGGAAGGCCTGAGTGAGGAGGGGAGCCCCTGTGTAAGGTCTGGAGGAGGAAGTCTCCAGAGTGGCCTGGGAAGGGGAAAGGGGTTCATGAAAGCTAACTGGAGAAAGAGATCCACAGTGAGAGATGGTTCCAGGTCCGCGTGCTTCAGAAGCTAAGAAAATTGGTGACCGATTTTTTTTTTTTAAAGTTTGTTTAAAAATAAAAACCACTTTTGAGAAATCGGTTTCAGCAAAAATGGAATGAAGACATAATGGTTTCTGGGGCTGCCGGGTTCGAGGGTGAGGAGAGTGAGCAACTCCTTCACCTGTGTGCCTCGCCCTCAGCGGGCAGTGGGCGGTGGCAGCCGATTCCTGGGTGTGTCTGAGAGGGAAAAGCAATGAGACGGGGACAGTAAAGGTGGGGACAGAAGAGCGACAGGGGCAGGGTAAGCTCTTCAGAGGCAGAGGAGAAACACCCGCCCTGACAAGAGGGTGACTTTGGAGACAAGCTTGCGGCGGGCGGGAGAAGACTAAGGAGAAGGAGAATTCCCTGGAGATGAAAACGCTGAGGCACTGAGCCTCCGCACTTCGCACCGCCTGCGCTCTCTGCGCTGTGATCATGTACCATGTATGAACTTTGAGGATGGTGGGCAGGAATGGCGAGTGGAGGGGTGAGCGGGCGCAGGAAGCAGAAAGGCGGCTCCGTAAGCGCGCCCAGGCCTCGGTTTCAGTGCCAGCTGGGACTGCGAGGGCCCTTGGGCTTCGCACAGGGGCCCACCGCCCACCACCTACCTCCCCAGGGAGAAGAGACACATGAAGAAGATGGCGCTGGCGAAGGCTTCGGGGTCAAAATCGCCTCCCAGGATGTCGATCACCCGGCCAGAGTAATAGGGGATCAGCATCTCCCCTGCAGCCAGGAGGGTGAGTCAGGGCGAGCAGGTGCCAGGGCCGTTCCCGCCGCGTCCTCAGCGCCTCCCCCGGCTCACCCAGCACGGCGACCACGAGGAAGGAGAAGGCGGCGGCGAGCAAGGGCAGGTCCGGCCTGGAGAGCCTCAGCAGCCGCCACATCAGGGCGTGGCTCTTCTCCGGGCCCTGCTCCCCGCCCGGGGCTCCGGGGGGGCTGAGCACGGCCCACGCCGCCGCGCTGAGCGCCGCGGCCCCGTACCCCGCCAGCAGCCAGCTCCAGGGGGCTGCAGCCACGCTGGCTGGGGGCGCACTCAAGGCCCCCGGGCTCAGCGCCCGCAGGGAGAGGAACAGAGGGGGCGCCAGGCAGAGCGCGGGCAGCAGTGTCCCCGCCGGGCCCAGCAGCCCCCCCAGCTTCAGCAGACACCACAGACCCCCAAGCCGCAGGGTCCCCTCCAGCCACAGCCCCGGCAGCCCCCGGGGGAGCAGAGCGTCCAGAGTGCCCTGGAGCAGCCGGAGTACAGCCCAGTCCGCCAGCAGCAGGGAGGCCCAGGGCCTCGGGTCGGGGAGCTGCATGGTGTGCCTGCGCGACGGAGGGCAAGAATTAGGGAGCTGGAGTCCCCGCTCCGCCCGCCCCTCCCCACCCCCACTCCGCCGACCGACCCTGAAAGCTCCCGGGTGCGCGCGCCCGTCGGTGCATCCTCCCCGGACCAAAGGCAGCAGCCTGCCAGGGAGCTGGGAGCTTGGCCGGGGCCTTCGTCCTTAAAAACCCCGCGATCCCTGCCCGCCCCGGCACCCTCGGGTCCAGGGGGGCAGGAAGCAGGGGCACAGGGGGCCAGCAGGCTGGACAGCGTCCCTGGGAGCGCTGCGGGCGCTCCCCGCTCAGACTCACCGGCCTGCAGCTCCGAAGGTCTCCTGGTGAGATGCTGAAGGCTGAGCTCGGAAATCCGCTCCCGCACCTCTGCCTGGCTTCCCTTCGGTCCGCCCTCCCTGCCTCCAGCCCCAGCCCCAGCCCCCAGGATGTCCCTGCGCTTTTCCTTTCGCTTTCACTTCCTGGCCCGGCCCTGCTCTGCGCCTCGCGGCCACCGGGGGGCGCGCGACACCGCAGACGCCGCGCCAGGGCCCCCTTCAGGCCGCACCTGCTGGCCTGGGAGCCTCTCGCCCTTAGCGACTGTTACTCTAACAGAGAAACTTGGCAATTTTAAAAAATTGTCACGAAGTTTAAAAAAAAAAAAAAGAAAAGAAAAAAGCCCTATGCTTTATACTTGGCGAACCACCGGATTGGCTCTGAAGCCGTTTTGAGAAGTGCCCTTCTCCTTCGCCCAAGCTCCAGTTTGAGGGTCTTGGGGTAAAAACAGCAAGTCCGGAGCGAGAGGCACACAGGGCCTCCCACACAGAAGGCAGCAGCCTGTCAGCTTCCGAGCGTGAGGGACGGACTTGGTTTCCTGGTTTCGTTTGGCACTGAGAACCCAGTGGCCAGGGCCTGCAGGTCCTGCCTGACCCAGAGCCTATCTATGGGCATGCGCACTGGCTGATTCCAGAAATGACTCTTCGGGTTGAAACTACCTCCCAAACACAAGCTGTCCTAGAGTTGAGGCTGGGATTCCCAATGACCCTTTTCTTAAATATATATTTTATTGATTTTTTTTTACAGAGAGGAAGGGAGAGGGATAGTTAGAAACATCCATCAGCTGCCTCCTGCACACCCTGCACCGGGGATGTGCCCACAACCAAGGTACATGCCTTTGACCGGAATTGAACCTGGGACCTTTCAGTCCGCAGGCTGACACTCTATACACTGAGCCACACCGGTTTCGGCCCCAATGACCCTTTTGAAACCTTGTTGGTCTGAGTACCAGTGAGTCACTTCAAACTGGAAACCCTGGGGAGGGAGGAACTTAAAGTGGGCGTTACTACAATTTCTCCCACCCCTGTCCGTGTGGGATTTCAAGGATCTCTCCCTCATGAAAAAGCTTCGTGCTCAACTTCGACCTACTTTCAAGTTGTCCCTTTAACAGCTCTCCCCTGGGAGGTGGCGGGCCACAGGCCACATTCCTCCCTGCCACCCCAGCGTGACCAGGAAATCACAGTGCCTCTCATTTTCCTAACCTGCTGACCTTTCCTATAGCCCCCACTTGAGGGCGTCCTCCTCATCTCTTCCCCTTCAATCCCCCTCCGGTCATCCCTCGATGGAGCACAACCGTTATGACGCTGAGCCCCAAGGCCCATCGCTACAGTCCAGCCCAGCATCGCCCACGTGCTGTTTCTGTCGGTGGCGCCGTGTTTCCAGTCACCACACCCCCGCGAGGTGGGACTTTGTCATCCCACGCTGTCAGTTCACAAACGGTTGTTCTAGGGCCCTACCCTGAATTAAACTGCAGCCCCGGGTCCACCGGTGACGATGGGTCCACCGGTCCTGGGTCCGGAGAGCCGCACGTGGCAGCAAAGCCGGGAGAAACACTGGGTGAGGCCCATTCGTTAAGTGGGGGGTTGAGTCTGTCTTCTCAGGAAATGCTTTTCTTTCTTTCCTGTCCCCGCCCCCACCTCACAGCCACAACACAGAGGCTTTATAACCGGCTCCTTTATTGTACTTAGTGGGGCACCCAGATGGCTGAAGGGGGGGGCGGGGTGCGCGACACAGAGCACACAAAGGACAGCCCGCCCCAACCCGGCCGCTCCCGCTCCTGGGCTCGGGCCAGGCCCTCTTTCTCCGGGAGGGTGAGCTGCCGCAGACCCAGGCGGCGGGCTCTCTGGGGGGCCTGCCCAGCCGCCGCCTCCGTCACTGCTTGGCCTCCTGGTACTGGTGCATCAGGTCGCTGACGTCTGTGCTCTCCACTTTCACCCAGCCGTCTTCCTTCATGTGGTACACTGCGGGCACGGGAAAGAACAAGGAGTCACCCTCCGCTCCGGCAAGTCCCCTTAATGATGGTATGCTGAAGGCCGTGACAACAGCACACACCACAGCCCTTGCTACTGGACTCCAGGACCCCTCATCTGGCTCTGAAACCCCCCCACCCATGTCAACCCCCTCCTGGCCCAGAGCTGGGAGCGCTGGTCTCTTACTATTGACGACGCCTCCAGAATAGCTGTCTCGGTGGGTGGCGTGAACAATAGCCCTGCGGCCCAGGTCATAGGCCTCTTCCGGGCTGAGGTCCGGCCGGTAGCCACTGTCCATGACCCCGTAGGCGTAGGAGTTCCCGCTGCCCGTTGAGAACATGCTTCCTGAGAGCCGGGTCCCATTCTCATCCACATAGTAGAGTCCAGGGCCCTAATGATGCAATGAGACAAGGGTCCGGGTTGGAGACGGAGAGGGAGTCGCTGGTCACACGCGGACAAAAGAGTAAGAATTTACGGGGGGGGGGGGGGGGGGGGGAGTAGGTGAGCACTTAAGTAACAATCACAGCACCTTGGAGGGGGAGGAGCAAACGTGACATCAGCTCTTCTAGTGAAAGGGACAGGCATACCGACCCATGGTCCCCACCTGGGCCCAGAAATGGCCGTGGACATGCAGCGAGAGCCCTGTGACCACGGACCTTGCAGGGGAGGCCGTGGGAGGCCAGCGGGGACCGATCTCTCGTCACCAGCGGGGGGTATGGAGGATGAGCGCACTCACCTTCTTGTCCCAGCCGCAGATCATGCTGCCCATGGAGAGGCCCATGCCCCGGTACTGGCACATCATGTTGGAGAGCAGTTTGGAGGCTGCTGACACGGAGATGCGCTCCCCGTTCCGCAGGTAGTACAGTCTGGGGGGGGGGGGGGGGGAGTGAGAGAGCTTAGAGGGCAGGGCGAAGGGTGAGGAGCACTGATCTCAGGGCCCAGGATCCAGAACTGACCGGGAGCCTCAGGGGGCAGGCGAGGGGCCGCCTACCTGCACTCCTTGGCCAGCAGACGCTCCCAGTACTGACAGTCGGCCGCACAGCCCGACATGGTGCCAAGCAGGTAAGGGTTGATCTCAATCACCTTGTTCACCTTTAAGGTGGCTGGAAGGAGACGGGGTTTGAGAGAGGAGAAATGGCCCACAGCGCTGCCTGGGTGTCCTACGTCAGCACCGGCCTCCATTTGGGTGCAGAGGCTGGGCCCTGCTGGGAGGAGGGCCCACGGCCGGGAGCTGGCCTGGGGGGACGGGCCACTCACCGATGTAACTCCCCGCCGAGGCCCGGGAATCCACGGCCACGATCACTCCGTGCTGGAACTTGAAGGCCAGTGTGGTGGTGCCGTGCGCCATCTCAATCTGAACGCCATTCTCCCGGTCCCCGCGCAGGGCCTGCAGGAACTCGGGGGGCTGGGCGGGAGGAAGGCAGGGAGAGGGCCATAAAGCTCCTGCAGGAGGCTCCCGGGGGGGAGGGGGACTGGAGGGCCTTCAGGCCAGAGGTACAGAGAGTCCCCAACCACGAGTGACCGGATCGTCCACAGCGGACTCCACCAGGAAACGGCCGGGAAGGAAGGAGCGGCCCGCACCGCCCGCCCCGTGGCTCAGCACAAAGAACAGCAAGAAGAGAAGGTGACCACAGCCACACGCGGAAGGGTGGCTTCAATGGTTTTTCACTATTAGGTCACGTCACCCTCACAAAACACGTTATCACTGGTGTCCCCACTTTACGGGAGGCCCCAAATCCAGCCTGCGTGCCCTTGATCCGGGACACACCCAGTGATGGCTGATGGCCGGTGCATGGATTTTCCGAAGCCGCCGCAGGGCCTGTGCCGTCGGGCAGCCGGGAAGGGGGCTTTGGGCTGTGTGATGGGAGCCTGGCCTTCGAGGGCGCCCCTCCTCCCCTCCAGTCTCCTCCCAACCTGATCTTCCTCACCCTCAGACCAACCCTGAGCCCCGCGCGGCGGGCCCACGTGGCCTCTCCCCGGCCTCGGCCCACCACGGCTCCCGCGGCTCCGCGGGCCCCGCCGCGTTGCCCCGCCGCGTTGCCCCGCCGGGACCGGCTCCGAGAGGACCCGCTCCCTCCGCCCGCCCTGCCTCCGGCTCTCCGCCCGCCCGGACCTGCATTCCCCGCGGGACGGCGAGCTCCGGAGACCGCGCGGAGAAACTGTAGTGTCCCGGGTCCGAGCCGGGCCGGCCTCCCGAGAGGGGGAGCTCCCAGGCGCCGGGCCGCGCTCCGGGGGCTCCGCACACCTCCAGCAGCGCCATGACGGCCAGCACAGGGGATCGGCCGCTGGCGCAGGAGGAAGTGAAAGCGAAAGCCGCAGCCCGAAGGGGAGGGAACCAGAATGTCTTCCACATCCCCCGGCCCTTTCCGAGAAGAAGGCGAGTGGGGGGGGGGGGGGCGGGTGAAGATGGGGGGCAGGTGTGTGCCGGGACCGGCTCCTCCGCTCCCGCTGCCAGGACGGCGCAGCCACGGGGGCGAGGCTGTCGGAGGAGAGGGAGGAAAGACCAGCGGCTTCGAAAGCCCCTCGGCCACGGGTTCCGGGAGACACCCTTGGGCTCCCGGGAGGCCCGGCGGCTCGGGCATCCTCTGCGGACTCTTACGCAGCGGGCGGGAGTCGCCTCGTGTGGCCTGGAGAACACTGGATCTCCGCGAGAGGCCGGAGCGGGGTCACGTCGGGTGGGGAGAGATGTCCACAGAGCATCATTTTATAGAAGCGGGAGGCACCGGGGTAGCGGGGCTCTGGGTCTTGAGGACAGGTCTTGGGGCAACAGAACAAACGCGCAGCGCGTGGGGGCGGGGCACCAAGGAGAGGGCGCAGTCTCTGAACCTGCCCATGTGGTCCTTCCTGGGGCCCCTCCCGGTTCAACGGTCCCCAACCCGCAGCCACCCACAAGCACTGCCCTTCTGCCCGCACCTCCTTGCGTGATTGTTGCCTGACTGGGCAGTGCTGAGTTCAACTCCTCTAAACCCCGCCTCTCTCTGCAACCTGTGTTGGCCTAATCTGCCCAGCAACTGGTGACGTCACGGGCCATGTCCCTCTATGATTGGGAGATATTCACCACTTCACTGAGATTTCCCAGCCAAGGGCCACTTGGGTGCCGGCGGAGCCCTACAGGACAGGGGCAGGGTTGCGAGGTGGTGACCGGTGAGTTCCTCCGCTCGCGCCCTGGCGCTTCCTGCAGCCACTCGCCCTCCATCTTCCACCTCAGAGAGGCCCGGGCTCCCAGAGCTGCGGCTAGTGACTCTGGTCCATCCTTGGGGGCGGGCATGGGGACGTGGGGAGGTCGTGGGGCAAACAGAGGGAGTGGAACACTTAGGAGAGAGGATGCTCGCTGTGGCTGTGAACCACGAGGGTCCTAGAGAAGTCACCCGGCTCCTGAAAAGTGCGCTGCAAAAGTCGGAGAGCCATTTGATGCGAGGAAACGCAGTACAAAACACCGATTTTATTATTAAATATCAATAATCCACAGGGTACTCATAAGTTATATATATATATATATATATATATATATATATATATATATATATATATATATATATATATATATATATATGTGTGTGTGTGTGTGTGTGTGTGCCTTTGCTTGTCTTTGGAAAGTAGCTGATCTTTCCTTTACATAGATTCTAAATACTTCTCATTTTCAGTGTGAGACACAGACTTCGCTGTACACCCAGTCACAGCGGAGTAATAAGCCAGGTTTTCTTCCTGGAAATCTGCATTTCTCAAGAGGAGTTAGGATAGAATTTCAAGTATCACCTAGGGGTTACATTTTAAGGAGTCACTCCTGTCTACTCTGCAGCTCTGCGAGCTCTCTGTTCCCAAATTCTCCCACATGGCAATCAGGAAAAGGGGGCGGAGGGGGGGGCATGAGAAGTCTTTCATTCCGGGTCACCCGACCCGCCAGGAGCCTGCACCATGGCCCAATAGCGTCCCCTCTTCTGCATAAGCTGCTGGTGGGTCCCCGACTCGCAGATGGTGCCCCCTTCCAGAAAGAGGATGTGGTCAGCCTGCTCCACGGAGCTGAGGCGCTGGGTGATGAGAAGCACAGAGCGCAAGTGTCGCTCGGGACTCTCGTACAGGAGCTGCTCCACCTGGAACGAGGGGACTCAGTCAGCTCAGGGAGGCCTGTGCTCCAGAGCCCACAGACCTCGCCAGGCCGCGGCCACCTGGGCGCTTCTCACTAAAGCCTTTCATCTGCTCGGGGCCGTTCACGTGCAGGAGCAACGGAGGAATAAAAGCCAGAGTCCTATGGTAAAGCCGGTAAGAGAGGAGCTAAGGGTATTCACTGGTCTCTCTCCCTCTGGACTGGGAATTTTTATGCTCTGTTTGAAAGAAGTACAACTTAGTGGTAAATACATGAGAATTCGAGTCAGATGGACTTGAAGTTGGGTCCAGTCTCTGCTGCTCAACAGACGACTGCCATTGAGCAGGCTCTTCGACCCCCCTGGGCCTCCACTTCACCATGTGCAGAGAGGCTAGCATTGGCCAGCTCACTAGCACTCACTAAAGAAAGGAGTAAGACAGTACATGCCAAGGGTCTAATAGCAGGCCTGGCAACAGAATGAGCTCAATTAACATTGATATTGACATTCGGGTAGTCTTTTCCTTATGTCTGGCTTCAGAGAGTGAAGATACTCTTGTAACTGGTTCTAGGCATCTTAGGGAGAAGCTAGTAGGAGCTGAGAATTGCAAGGACTGGTTTGCATGATTATGATGTTAGTATAACTAACGCAGGATGAGTGAAGGAAGGGAGATCGGTGGGATACAGGCATGAAGAAGATGACAGTCTCACCCGTAACTGGCTGTTTGCATCCAGGGCGCTGGTAGCATCGTCCAGGATGAGTACTCGTGGTTTCCTGATCAATGCTCGAGCCAAGGCCACTGCCTGTCGCTGACCCCCTGATAGCTGGCCCCCAGCCTCGCCTACCTCTGCAGAGACAGAAGCCAAGGTAACAGTTGGATAACCACATGTGGACCCATGTGCACACACACATACACACACATGCACACACACACACCAAGGACTACAGCCATCCGGTACAAAATATGACAGAGTCATGGAGCAAGGGATAATGGGCGCAGCTGGACAGGGAAGGTTCTGGGAAGGTGAAGGAGCTCTGAGGATGTGAGGATGAAGGAGCCATAGGAACTAGATCGTAAAACCTCAAACTGCTGTCAGGGGCAGGAAGAACTGATGAACAAAGGCAAGACTATTGGGGTTTCTGGGGTGACACGCGTGGATGGAGCACCTGTGTCGTAGCCCTGAGGGAGTTCAGAGATGAAGGCATGGGCTCCGGACTCCATTGCCGCAGCTGTGACCTCCTCCAGGGTTGGCTTCTGGGTCAGGCCATAGGCAATATTTTCTCGGAAACTTCTTCCAAATAACTGTGGCTCCTGTCCCACTGCGGCCACCTGGGACAAAACACGAGGAAGAGTCATGGAATAAGGAATACTGGAATGGTCATATAGATATTAAAGACTCAAATTCTGCACTGATATCATACCGCAAAATTACACGCCCTCTCTCCTGACCACACCCCCATCTCCACCCACGCAGGGTCTCCCATCATCCCTTCACGGTTAGAACCTAATCCTTCTTCCGAGAACTCAGTGGCGCTTAGTGAGAATATTCTTACCTGGTGCTCCCCACCTTCCCCCAGACCACTTCTTGCTCACCTGCCGGTGCAGGTAGCGGTGCTCATACTGGGGAAGGGGCTTCCTGTCCAGCAGCAGGGCCCCCGCCGTGGGCTGGTACAGGTTCTGCAGCAGCGCCACCACCGTGCTCTTCCCCGAGCCATTGGGCCCCACCAGCGCCGTCACCTCACCAGGACACAGGGTGAACGTCAGCCCCTGGAGGCCAGAGAACCAATCACACAATAAGAGGCGGCTGGAGCCCTCACCTTGAGACTGTCATGGCTTGTTACACAGCAGGATGTCTGACCCCGGGGAAGAAATGAGGAAAATGGGGAAATAGAGTCACCCTCCCCTCCCACTGCACAGACTAGGAACGTAAGTCCCAGAGGAGTAGAGCTGGAAGATGAGGCAAAGACAGGAACAAAGACTCAGCACCACTATGCCACACTGTGGTGTCAGCTGCCAGGAGAAAACAATAACCAACCACATTCAAAATCACAAAGCGGGGAGAGGAGAGATGGAGGCTGGGGGCACAGATCTTCCTTTAGCAGCTCCTTTGGGTGCGAGCTCTCCCTCCCTGAGAGCCCCCTCTCCCTCTCTCCTTGGAAACCGAAAGTGGCTCTTCGATTGGGGGCGGTTTTATGGAACAGATGATGCTCATCTTGCCTTTGGGGGTCAGGAAGGAGCCGCCTGTGCCTGGGTCAAGCAGGCTGAATGAGGGAGAGAGGGTGGAAGAGCTGGGAGCACCTGCAGCACTGGGGCATCTGGATGGTTAGGGTAGGCGAAGGAGACATCTTGGAACTGAACAAGGCCCTCCAGGTCCGAAGGAGTCAACACACCACTGGCTGGGCAGCAAGGGATCCGATCCAGGTACTCAAATATTTTCTCCGAGGAGCCCACAGCCTTCTGCACCCTGGGGTAGGTGGAGAGTAGTACCTGGAAGGGAGGTATGGACAGTGAGTGGGGGATGGGCACCCAATCTGCTTGCCAGGTCATGTGATGTGAGAAAGGTAAAGAATGGAAGGAACATGACAGGGATGGTGACAGGATAGGAGAAGGGGGAGTGAAACTCCCAGGACCTCACCTGAACAGCTGTGGTGAACTGGATCTGGTAGAGAATAAATGTGACAAGGTTCCCACTGCTCACAGCCCCACTTGTCACCAGCTGCCCGCCGACATATAGGATTCCCACCTTCAGCAGCATCCCCGAGATCTGTGTAGAGACCCCAGAGAAAGGAATCATGGTAGAAATCTAACAGGGTGCAAAGAACCAGAATCCTTGGAATTGAGGAGATAGAAAGTCCCTTCCCCGCTGTAACAGCAGGAGGCTCAGTAAGCAGAAAGAAAGAATGAACCATGTAGACACATGGAGTCTTATTCAGACACATGCCAGAGGTCATCGCATCGCCATCACCATTATCACCTTGTTGGGGAGCATTTGGCTCTTCACAAAAGGCTTTCATGAATGTACATAATCTAACATTCATATCAAGAGCCCTGTGAGCAAGATTATATCACTCTCATTTTTTAAAACAAGGAAACCATGTCAGAGAAGGTGTACTAGGCCATGGTCACAGAGCTAGTAAATGGCATCACCAAGCCAGGAACTTGCGATTGCTGGTCGAGTTCTCTTTCAAGTACATCATAGATGCCTTGTCCCCTATACTGGGTTTCTGCACTCTCGTGGCTCTCACTAGCACACCCACGCCGTCCCAGCATGAATCGGGCTCCCTACACACGTCCTGAGAAGTGAAGGAAGGACCTGGGACCAGAAGACATGGCATCTTCCCAAAAGGAGGATTAGGTAGGTTTTGTGTATCACAGTGAAAGGAAGCCATCTAGCCTCAAAAGAGGGAGCACCGAGGAGGGTGACTGAGCCTCAGATTGCTAGGATGAGAACGCTGAACCAAGCATTGTCCGGGGAGGAGGAGTGTGCAGCAGGGTCCAGGGAAGGGGATGGAGTCAAGGCATCTGGAGGACAAGGGAATGGGCATTCATCTCCAGGTGCTCACAGTGGAGGTCCAGAGGTCGACTGCATAGGCCACGGCTTCCTTCTGGTTGAGTATCTTCATTTCCTGCTGTTTTTGCCTGAACTTCTGGGCCTCACCCTCTTCGTTGGCAAAGCTCCTGACTGTAGGCATGGCTGACAGAACCTCAATGGCCACCTGGCTGGACTTTGCCAGAGATTCCTGCACTTGTGCTGCCAGCATCTGTGGAGACATAGACAAGAGATGTCACACAGGGTTTGAAAACCATAGGGACAGTTGTACCTAAGTGACCCCATTAGAGATTAAAGGTGAGAAGAGGCAGAGGATCAAGAGAGAAGAGAAAGAGACACAGATGTACCCTCTGGATACTGCAGAGATCCGGAGAAGAGAATGACTTGGGAGGGTGGTAGGGATCATATTCTCGAGATTGGTGATCATAACTTTAAAGACAGGTTGTGGGTAAGAGTTAGGAGAGAAGATACAGAGAAGGTGAAGATCAGCACTCCCACTTAATCTGGGAACCAGACTACAGGGGCAGGGAGTCCATGAAGATGGGAGAACCATGGAGGGGCCAGGAGGAAAGTTGAGAGAAACTGAGACCACCAAGGTAGGAGAGGAGGGTCGGTGTAGGATGCGGCAACTCCCTTGACATACCTGGTGCCATTTCCCCAGCTTCTTAGGCAGAAGGAAAAGCAGAGGCAGGGCGGCCAGGGTGACCAGGGTGAGGAACGGTGACCCCCAGAGCATGAGCCCCAAGAGACACAGCCCCCGCACCAGGTACCACAGCAACAGGCTCAGCTGCTCACTCAGAGACTCACTCACGGTGGCCGTGTCCTCTGTCACCCGGGATGTGATGGCACCTGCCGGAGGTTGGGGAAGAGAACAGGGAGTGAGGGTCTCAGAGGGAGGGAGGGACTAGCAGTGGCCCGGGTGCCAGAGGGAGGGGTGTCAAAGTGTTCTAAGGATGCTGGGGGAAATGAGGGGAGGGATAGAGGGAAGCTCTGGGACTTCATTGCAGGAAGAATGTGTTAGGGCAGCAAAGTCTGGCCAAAACCTTCATTTTAACTACAGAGAATTTGTACCCCCCATGCCGCACACATGGGCAGGAACGGCTCACGCTGGGCACATAACAGAGCTGAGAAAAACACAGGGTCCTGCTGGACGCAGTCCCGAGACTGTGATGTCCATGTGAACCGAGTGAGACTCCATGGGTCTCTGTGCTTCAGTCTCCTTGCTACTTACTGAGCCTCCTGCTATTACCAGCAGGGAAGAGACGTTATTTCTTCTTCGTGCTAAGGGTTCTGGTTCTTTGCATCCCATTCGATTCTCACCAAGCACTGGACTGGAAATCAGGAGATGGGCTCTGCCCAAGTTCATCACTCTCTACATGCGACCAAGTTCACCTGCCCCAAGTTCTTCACTCTCTACATGTGACCATGTGTGTGTCAGCATGTAGGGCCTAGGCCTCATGTTCCTTCTCTGTGAAATGAGACACTTGGACTCTGTGGTCTCAAAATGTCCAGGTTTGCAATTCTCTCTAAATACACATGGAGAGGTAACTTTGTGTTAAAACCTGGGGTGGGAAACTAGGCTTTTTTCTGAAGGTATGAATGCAATATTCAGCTCTGGGGGTACACCAAGAATACGAAATGACCATGTCTGTGTGCGAGAGGGCCACGGTGATAGGTAAGGGGTGGGGGCGCACTGGCAGGTGGTTACAGTGAAGGCGTTCCATGAGAAACCTGTTTGGTTCTGTTGGAAAAACTCCGTCTCCTGGCGCAGGACGGCGCGGAGCACCTGGCCCTGCAGGCGGCTGTGCACGCGGCCCATGGTGCTGTTGTACAGGCCGTCGCCCAGGAACTCCAGCGTCGCACTAGAGAAAGGAGGGGGGTGTGCAGGCTCAGAGAGGAGGACCCGCAGATGTGCACCTCAGAGCGCAGCCCCAACTCCCAACCCCTCTTTTTCAGCCCCCCTCCCCCCTTCCCAGCCTCCCTCCTGGGGCCCAGACCTGGCTATGGTGAGGATGGACATGAGCGCGATGTTTCGAGTGAAGGCAGAGGCAGGTCCGTCTTGTAGGATCCAGTCGGTGAGGCGGCCGGTGAAGAACGGAATGGCCATCTCACCTGAGAGGCAAGGAGGGAGGGAGGGAGGGAGGGAGGAAGGGAGGGTCGATCACAGTATCTAGTCCAAGCTGGCAACCCTCTGCCCCGGCCAGCAGCCTGCAGGGCGCCGCAGGAACTGCCCCCACTCAGCCCGCAGCCCGCCAGGCTCTTATGAGCCCTGATGAGGAGGCAGCCGCGGTGGAGGAAGGTGCCCCGGGCGGGGGGCGGGGGCAGTGCCTGGCGGGCACTCTTGTCCTGACTCCGGGCTCCCACCCAGTCCGGGGTGGTCTCCTCGGAGAAGACCGGAGCTGGGTCGCCTTCCCCTGGCCCGCATTCCCCGGAACCAACTCACCCACCGCACAGCCCGTGCCTCCTGATTCCCACCCAGTCCCCCCGGGTCAGTCCCTCTCCCTGAACTCCTTACTGAGCCCCTTACCGAAACAGGAGAGGACCAGCAGGCCCAGAACCAGCGGGAGGCGGCGCACCTCTGCGCCCAGGCAGCCCAGGAGTCGGCGGACGGGGTCCGCAGAGCCCGCGGGGCCTCCTCTCGCCCAAAGGCTCCAGAGCTTGAGCCACAGGGCGGCCGCGGGCAGAGCCGCCGCGTAGCTGAGGGCGAAGGCGTCGAGGCGACTCCCCCAGTGCAGCAGCCGCGCGCCGTCCGCGCCGCGGGGGGCGCCCCAGGAGACCAGCGCTCGGAACAGGGCGAGTCCCGGCAGAGCCAAGCCCAGCGCCGCCGCCAGCGGCTGCAAAGCAGCCAGGCCTCCCAGGGCGCCGCCTTCACGCGTGGGGCCGACGGTCGCCCTGAGGACCCCCCGGGCTCCGAGCTCCAGAGCCGCCCAGCGGGCCAGGCCCCCCACCCAGACCCGGAGCAGCGGCAGCGCCGCGGGCACCAGCAGGGACGCCACGCCGGGCAGCGCCGGCCGCAGCAGCGCCCAGTCGGCGAGCAGCAGCAGCGCGGCGCCCAGCCAGGCGGGGCCGAGGCTCCCGCGGGGAGCGGGGCCCCCCGCGCGGGCGCTGTGTCCGGGCCTGGGACTCTCCGCCATCCCGGCCGGGCGGAGGCTCCGGTGCCGTCCCGTCTGCGCCCGAGCGCCGGGACCGCCGGGACCGCCGGCTGCGGAGGGCGGACGGGCGGGCGGGGCTCCCGGAAAGTCCCGGAACCCGCCGAGCCGCCCGGTCTTGCCTAGAAGCGGGCCATTTAGGGGAAAGAGAAAACGAAAGCGCGGCGGCCGCCTAGGTCCGCCCACTTGCAGCGCGCGAGCCCAGACTATTTGGGGAGAGGGCGTGGGGAACCCATCCGAGGCCGCGGGGCGCAGCCTTCGTGCTCCGCTTCTCCATCACGCACCCCGGCCCCCTCCCCTCCCCTGCCTCCTCTTGCGGGACCCATTTCCCTGCCCCGGGCTCAGGGCGGGCTCTCCAGTCACTTGTCTCCGGGCAGATCTGCCCCACGCAGGTTAGCGCAGCGCCGGGTGCGCGGCCTCGCGGGGTGGACGCGGGCGCCCCCTGGCGGGCGGGGCGAAGGGGCGGGGCTGCGCGCTGCGCGTGGTCTGAAGTCGGGATTCGGCGCCGCAGGCGGCAAGCGGCAGGAGCAGGGATGCTGCGGGCAGGACCACCTGCCGGGGGCCTCCTCCGGGCCGGGGAAGTCCACACCGGGGTAAGGCGCCTGGCTGGAGGGTTAGCGGGGAGGGGACGCGGAAGGGGCTTGGGAGCTTTGGAACACCAAGGAGTGAGCGGAGACCAACCGGGTGAGAAGGCAGCGCGTAGTCCCGGCGCCCAGTCCCCGCAAGGAACACGCAGCGTTTCTACTCCGAAGGGATCGCGGGGCCGCGAAGGGACTGCGCCGCGAGGCTGGAGGAGAGGGGGTGCTTGGCTCCTAGCTGGGAGCGTCCAGGGGAAGCTGCTCTGGCGCTTTCGCTTTCACTCTGGCTGGAGCGGGGGGCTGGTTAAACCCAGGGAAGGGGCTGCAGAGGGTGCAGCGGCTGAGGAGACGTGCCCTGGTGGACAGCACCTGGGCGAGGGGAATGCACTGATCGAGAAGGGCCAGCTCATCACTCAGGCTCTGGTGGGCTGGCACCTGGGCAATCACGGTCCCGGCCCTGATGGCAAGGTCCCCGGGGCCCCTCGCTGGCCTTCCCCTGGAGGGCTCCTGCGTGGCCCGGGCTGCGCAGCCCCCTCCACGCCCACTCCCACGCATGTGCTGGGGGACTTTGCTCGGGGCAGAGGGGGGATGGCAGCCCAAGACTGGCTGGCTTCTAGTCCCAGACTGCGCCACCAGCGGCTGGGGGCACGTTGCTTGAGAGGAGTAAGCCCGGAGGGGTGACTGCCCCTGGGCCCTGGCCCCTGTCTTCCTGGGGGAGCCAGCCAGGGCGGGTCCCGCAAGCCAGCGGGTGAGAAAGAGCCGGAGACCACTTCTAGGTTAGAAATCTCGCTGCTAGACCAGCCAGAGAGTAGGAAGCAGAAGCCACACGGGGTGGCAGCTGGGCCTGGGCTTCAGTCCAGGGTCTGCCACTCACTGTGTGACCTTGGACACGTCACTCGCCTGTTCGATGACTCAGTTTCTCATTTAAGCCAGGGACCTGTAAGGCTTTTTCAGACTCAACAGAAGTAGAAAACGTGTCCCCGTGTTCACTCCTTCACTCGTCCTTCGTTTCTGTTCTGGAGCTGGAAAGTCAGCTCGCACGCTCCGGTCAGATCCTCTCGGAGCAGGTCCCTCCCCGAGGCCCCAGATGCCTCTGCGCCTCTTGCTCAGAAATCCCTAAACGAAACCTGTTCTCACCACCTCGTGCTCCTTGCTGCTGTCCTCCTTCCTTGAAACGTGGCCTTGCTGACCACCCCTCCCCCCAGGTTTCCCCGTGTAAGAGCTGGCTTCTGGCCAAGTGTCCTGTGGAGGATTCTGGCCCAGTAAGACCTGAGCTTGCCCTGTCAGGTCTCCCGCACCTGCACACCCAAGCACCTGTGATGGAGGCTGCAATTCCCTTCGCCCCCACCTCTCCTCACAGTGAAAAGAACCCACACAGAAGGAGGGGCTGTTGCCGCGGCACCTGTCCCGCCTGTGCAGCCCACGGCCAGGCGGTGGCATTCCCATCAGCCAGGAGACACAATGGAGGGGTGGAGTGGGCTCCGGCCTGCATTTCTGGGTGCCCCTGAGCCATGCCCGCCCTCCCTCTTGCTCTGACATTCCCTCCTCTCTCTCTGCAGACAACCATCATGGCGGTAGAGTTTGATGGGGGCGTGGTGGTGGGGTCTGACTCCCGGGTGTCCGCAGGGTAAGTACCACTGAAGGTATATGCTTTGGAAGGAAGCGAATGGCCCCGAATACACATGTTTTTTACCCATTCATAAAGAACCTGGTGAACTGAGCTCTAGAGAAATGGAGTTAGCCTCTCAGAAGGTGGCTATAAGATATTGGGTGGGTGCTTGGGTCTCTGAATTCATGGGTCCTGAATGCTCCAGCCTGTCCCTGGAAGCAGGGACTGAGAAGGGGGAAGGGATAGAGATTTGAGATGAAAAAGATGGGTCTGAAACACAGGTATCTTGGTTTCTCACCTATCGTGTGTTGACTAGTTTTGTCTTTCTCCCTCCTGGCCAGTTCCCTCAGATGCAAAATGGACATAGGGATTAGATCCACATGATTTTATGTCCCATAGAACACATGGTTAATAGCAAAGAAAAATTTGTAAAAGTATCATCATTCTTAGCTTGCTATTTTTATTGTATTATAAAATCTAAGCCTGAAATAAGTGATTTTGATTACTTGCAGTGTTTCATCTGGCTGAGATTATTCTTGCTTCCTGCTTTAATCCAAGCAGTCGGTAGCTGTCCTCTTGTCAAATGAATGTGAGAAACACCGGCTGATTCACCTCAAAAACCCCTGCCCCTCTGCGCTGCTGACCGCTGCCTCCTTCCCCGCAGGGAGGCCGTGGTGAACCGGGTGTTCGACAAGCTGTCCCCCTTGCACCAGCGCATCTACTGCGCTCTCTCCGGCTCGGCCGCCGACGCCCAGGCCGTGGCCGACATGGCTGCCTACCAGCTGGAGCTCCATGGGTATGACGCTTTGGGCTCCTCACACTTCGCCCCCGAATCCCCTGCAGTGCCCTGCTCCGGGAGCACTGCTGCTGCTTTTATTAGTTTCCGTCTGGCCTGGGCCCTCCACACTGGTGTCCACGCCCGCCCGTATGGTTATTTTGAGAATCGAATCACACCTGTGAAGGCAGTTTGCGAACTGTAGCCCCTATCCTAATGCAATTACTGAGGAAGAAAACGATGAGTGGCCCCTGGATCCGGTCATCCATGGGGAGCCAAGGTCGTGGGCAGAGGCGAGGCTCATCTGCTTTCACCCACAAGGGCAGGCTGATCACTGGGGAGTGGCGGGTGCGAGCAGAGGAGGGGCATGGAGGTGTGAGGCTCGGGCTCCTGCACAGCGGGAGGGGAGTGGAGTTTGCCCTGCGGCAGCTCTGGGTTTCAGGAGGCCATTGGCAGGGATGGTGGTGATGGCACAGGAGGGTGGAACTTCAGGAGAGTGCACTGACCCCTTCAGGATGGAACTGGAAGAACCTCCCCTCGTTCTGGCTGCTGCAAACGTGGTGAGAAACATTAGCTACAAATACCGGGAGGAGCTGTCTGCTCACCTCATGGTAGCCGGCTGGGACCAACGTGAAGGGGGCCAGGTGGGTCTCTCCCAAGGCACGCCCTCCCTTGGGGTCCCCCAGTCCCCTGGAGAGGAAGCTGGTGGCCGTGTCCTTCTAGCAGTGACTTCCCAAGACACTGCCCCAAAGCACAGGGCAGTCTCTCCAATGGGGATCGGAGATGCCAGGCCTCCGCTGCAGAGCCTGGAGGCCACCTGCTTGTCCTGGTGGCAAGAACAGAATTGAAGCTTCTCTGGTCTGACTTGAGGGTCCTCCCCCCCCCCCCCCAGGTGTATGGAACCCTGGGAGGAATGCTGACTCGACAGCCCTTTGCCATCGGCGGCTCCGGCAGCACCTACATCTACGGTTACGTGGACGCAGCGTACAAGCGCGGCATGTCCCCTGAGGAGTGCCGGCGCTTCACCACGGAGGGTAATCGGCGAGGGCGAGGCGCCGGGGCTTCCCAAGGGGAAGGGGGTAGCCGGGGGAACAGGAAGTGGAGGACGTGGTGGCCATTTAACTTAACATCCAACCTGGGACACTGGAGAGTGAAAGGGGGCAGGACAAATGCTGAGCCAGATGGGACTTCGGGACAAAGGGCCTGAACCAGGACTGTCCTGAGAAGAGCAAACTAAGAAACGTGGCACGTAGGAAGCAGGGGCGAGCTGGGGCTGGGGCTGGGGCTGGGGCTGGGGCTGGGGCTGGGGCTGGAGCTGGGGCTGGGGCTGGGGCTGGAGCTGGAGCTGGGGTTGGGGCTGGGGCTGGGGCTGGGACAGTGGCGAGATGGAGCTGGGGCTGGGGCTGGGGCTGGAGCTGGGGCTGGGGTTGGGGCTGGGGCTGGGGCTGGGGCTGGGGCTGGGGCTGGGGCTGGGGCTGGGGTTGGGGCTGGGGTTGGGGCTGGGGCTGGGGCTGGGGCTGGGGCAGTGGCGAGATGGAGCTGGGGCTGGGGCTGGGGCTGGGGCTGGGGCTGGGGCTGGGGCTGGGGCTGGGGCTGGAGCTGGGGCTGGGGCTGGGGCTGGGGCTGGGGCTGGAGCTGGGGCTGGGGCTGGGGCTGGGGCTGGGGCTGGGGCTGGGGCAGTGGCGAGATGGAGCTGGGGCTGGGGCTGGCTTAGGCGAGCCCACGAGAGCCACTGTCAATAGTCCAGGATTTGGGAGCTGCAGTTAAGCTGTTTACAGCTGGACATGAATCTTGGCAGGAGCAGTGAGACCATGGACATAAGGACCATGGACATCAGTGAGACCACATCCATGCAAAGGGCATGTCTGTTTACTTTTTTACTTCTGAGATGGTTTAGCACACCACTGACTCGCCTCTCTAGGCATGGGCCTGGAGTTGGAAGGGGGCATAGGCTTGTGGATGGAAGTGAAGGAAGTGGTTTTTGAAGGTAAGCCTTCCTCTCTCTCTCTCTCTCTCTCTCTCTCTCTCTCTCTCTCTCTCTCTCTCTCTCTCTCTCTCTCTCCCACTTGAACCCTCTGCAGCTATCACTCTGGCCATGAACAGGGACGGCTCCAGTGGGGGTGTCATCTACCTGGTCACCATCACAGCTGCCGGCGTGGACCATCGCGTGATCTTGGGCAACGAGCTGCCGAAATTCTACGACGAGTGAATCTTCCTCGCACATCTCTCCTCGTTTTGTAATAAACTTTCTGAAGTCAGACCCGGCGTGGTCCGTGGGCAGGGGGTGCTGAGAGAGGAAGCTTAGGGGAGGGGCTCCGGCCTCTCTCCTCCCGGGAGTCAGCGCCCCTTTTCATTCTTTAGCCCCAAAGTCTAAAACCTCTTTCCAGGAGGAGGGCGGGTGAAGGAGAAAGAGCCCTCACAGCACAGGCCGTCACGTCCCGGTGGGTTTAAATGTCAGACACACGATTCCTTCTGACGCCGCGGATGAGGGTGGGAGCTGAGGAGGTGGCACTCCCCTTTGCAGTGGCTCTGGGCCTTCCTAGTGCCGCGGCCCTGTAAGACAGCTCCTCGTGTGGTGGCGACCCCCAACCACAAAACTATTTTCGTTGCTACTTCATAACTGCAGTGTTGCTACTGTTATAAATCATCACGTAAATAGCTGTGTTTTCCAATGGTCTTAGGCGACCCTGCTAGCGGTTCTCAACCTGTGGGTCACGACCCCTTCCTTTCACAGGAGTCGCCTAAGACCATCAGAAAACACAGGTATATACATTACAGCTCCTAACAGAAGCAAAATTACAGTTATGAAGTAGCAACGAAAATAGTTTTGTGGTTGGGGGTCACCACAGCACGAGGAACTGAATTAAGGGGCCGCGGCACCAGGAAGGTGGAGAACCACTGCTTTAGGGGAAAGACCAGCGATCCTCAGCAGGTGTGAGGGGGCACAACGGTGTGCCACAGAACCTTTAAAACATGCAATGCCTGGCCTCTTTTCCTTTAGATTGTCAAATTAAAAAATGACAGCAGCCAACACAATGATAGCTGCCCAGAGTGAATGAATCAAATTATACCTATTTTTTTTTTTTTTTTTTTTTGCCAGATTGGAAAACATGTACTCTATCCCTTGGTGTGGCTCGGGATTTCAGTAGTTAGTGTATGTGTCCATGAGGGGAGAAGGTGGGAATCGCTGGCTAAGACTGAGGAGATGAGACAGTGGCACACATGAAAGTGCTAAGAGCACCAGCAACCGCACTGAAAAGCATTCTTTCACAATGCGTCCATTTACTCCAAAGGTCCGTGCGCAATGAATGCTTACGTTAAAAACAACACAACACACAGCATTTCACAGGGGGCCTTCCTCCACCGCCTCACCAAGCTTCCCATCCCCTCGCGCTTCCTGTGGCCTCTCCTCCTGGAACTCCGCGGAAATTAGCCAGGCCCGTTAGTTGCCACTCAGGAACCCGCTACCAGAGCCCGAGTAACTGTGCTCAGGAGCCGCGTTCTGGGCCGGAGTGGCCTTTTCCGTGCGCTTCCTGAGTAACAGGACCGATTCGTCCGCTGGGAGCCTCTTTCCTCTTCTGCCAAGTGAAGGTGCTGGGTGACTTCCACGGAGTTCACAGCTCGGCATTCAATGCCAGTTTGCTGTGGAGTGAGCAGTGAAGAGCTGTTCACGGAAACCCTAGCAGGCCCCTCTGGAAGCTTCTGTCTGCTTTGCTTCCTGGACCTCAGGCCAAACATACAAATTCAAAGCACCCTAAAAGCAGCCCACGCCCTTGGGGGAGGATCTATGTCCACTAGAGCTGGAGTCCTTCCCAGCCAGGACATTTAATTTATTTCAAAATTTAAAATAACAGCTGAAGGCCTACCTCGCCTGCTGATCGCTACTAGAAGCTGGGGAGTAGGCAGAAAGCAAGCACTACAGGACTGATGGGGAGGACTCGCCTCTGGGAGGCAGCCTTGGCTGTCATTGGTTTTCCTTTCCTCCCGCTTTGCCCTCCGTGAGAGCTGCAGGGCAGAGCCAGGAGACTCCCCTGCTGTGGCCAGAGGAAGCGAGGAAAGAGACCTGCAGGGGGGCGGGGGAGAGAAGGGAACTGAGAGCGGAGAGCCTAGAGCTGGAGAGGGGGACTTGCTCATTCTAGGCATGAGCCTCCCGGCACTGGTGCGGGCTGAGCCTCCCAGCCTGCGGCCCCCCTGGACCCTCACAGATTTAACCTCTTAAAGGAGAAAGCTCTCTTTTCGTTATTGGCCAGCAATTATGTCCTGTGCCTTATTCCTAAAAGGGCTTAGAGCAGCTCACAGGGCCAGGCACAATTTAAAACAAAGAAAGAAGAAATTGGAGCAAAGAGAAAATAAAGTTTAGAAATAAGGGAAGCAAAAGGGACCATGGACAGTGGCGACAGCGTGGTATTGCACAAAAGGCGGACCCCAGGAGGGGAGGGTCAATGGACTAAATGTGCTATTAAGGAGTTAATGTTATTAATATAAGTATTAATAACACTAAGTGAAGCCCAGCGTAAGACTAATATACAACATAAATATCTTAACACATTGTGGGCCAGTAGTTTTATTGCTAGCTTTACCCCGTGGCCAGATAAGTTTCTATTGAACAAGTACAAAAAGCATTTTACATAAATGTTAAAGGCATGCTTTAAAATTAAATACCCGCCAAAACCGGTTTGGCTCAGTGGTAGAGCGTCGGTCTGCAGACTGAAAGGTCCCAGGTTCGATTCCGGTCAAGGGCATGTACGTTGGTTGCGGGCACATCCCCAGTAGCGGGTGTGCAAGAGGAAGCTGGTCCATGTTTCTCTCTCATTGACATTTCTAACTCTCTCTCTCTCTTCCTCTCTGTAAAAAATCAATAAAATATATCTTAAAATAATAATAATTAAAAAAAATAAATTAAATACCCATTGCATTTGAAGTTATTTGTTACATGTTCTTACAAGCTAATATCTTTTTAAAGTATGATACTTTGTAAAACACTGTGTCATATGAAGCGAGAATTCTCGTGATCTGTCCGCAATGTGTTAAGAAAAAGCGGACTGCCTTACCCTGGCTACAGGGCAGATGCGAAGTACGGGGGGTTTTGAAAGGCAGCTGTTAAGCAGTGGCAGCCGGACCCTGGCCACGCGGAAGCATTTATGCCCAGAAGCCAGCACCACTCCAGGACAGAGCTTTCCCCAGGGGACCGGTCTACCGAGCACATTGTCAATAGGAACCAACTGGCTGAGCTACAGGGTAATGAAAGCAAAGAAGGAAGTGAAATTAGGTACAAGATTTGTTAAGAAATGAAGTCATAAAAAATTTTAAAAAGTTTCAAATCACAGAACATTTACTGAAATAGAGCATGCACTATGCCATAGAGAAAAACCAGTAAATTCCAGAGTATTAGTTGAACACAGTTAAAACAGTACTCAGAAAGAATTACATAGCTTCAAATACATTTATTAGAACAAGAAAAGTTAAAAATATATAACCTAGAAATTCTCCTAATAGGTCTGGATAAAGAGCAATTGAGCAAACCTAAAGAAATACGAAGGAGCCGAAACCGGTTTGGCTCAGTGGATAGAGCGTCGGCTTGGGGACTGAAAGGTCCCAGGTTTGATTCCGGTCAAGGGCATGTACCTTGGTTGTGGGCACATCCCCTGTAGGGGGTGTGCAAGAGGTAGCTGATCGATGACTCTCTCTCATCGATGTTTCTAATTCTCTATCTCTCTCTCTTCCTCTCTGTACAAAATCAATAAATATATATATATATAAAGAAATACGAAGGAAATTATAAACATAAGAATAGAAAGCAATTTACTAGAAAACAAAACTATGTAATAAAGATTCACAAAACTCAAAGCTGCTTCTTAAAAAAAAATATTTGAGATATTCAGACTCAGAAGCAGACTGATCATGAACAAAGGGGTGTAAAGAATAAATAACAAAATACAGAATAGCTATAGCTATACCCGAGATATGAAACATAAAGGTTTTATGAACAAGTATATGCTAATAAATTTGAAAATCTCTATGAATAAATTCCTAGAAAAATTTAAGCTACAAAAATTAGCAAGAAGAAATACAAAATTTGACTATGCTAATAAATATTGAAGAAATAGAAAATGTTGCCAAAGCCTCTAATAAAAATAAATTTTTTAAAAAAAATGCTCAGCCCTGCCAGTGTGATTCAGTTGGTTAGAGCATCATACGGTACACCAAAAGGTTCCCTTCCCGGACACGACACATACCTAGATTTCGGCTCAATCCCCAGGCCAATAGGCAGTATGTGCGGGAGCCAACTAATCAGTGTTTCTCTCTCATGTCCATTTCTCTCTCTCTCTCTCTCTCTCTCTCTCTCTTTCTCTCTCTCTTTCTCTCTCTCTTTCCTTCCCTCTTTCCTCCTCCTCCCTCTAAAAACACAAATCAATGAAAATGTCCTAAAGTAAGCCTTTTTTAAAATGTCTAGATGGTTTAATAGGTGGGATACATCAAACATTCAAGTAACATGCAACTCCTATCTTATGTTGTTGTTTTTTATCAGAAGATAGAAAAAAGATCAAAAGCTGCTCAGCTCATGTTATCAGGTTAGTACAATCTTGATTCCAAATTGAGGTATGGGAAAGTCAAGGACAGAAAATAGGCTGTTTCACTTTGAACATAGGTGGGAAGAATAAATAATTATCAACTGAATCAACAGTGTTAAATATAATAATATATCACGATCAAGTAAAAAGTCTTTAGAATGCAAAGATACTTTAATGCAATAAAATATCTATACTAATAAAAGGGTAATATGCTAATTAGACTGAGTGACCTTCCGGACATCCTCCCGGACAAAGGAACAAAGCCATGGTGTCAGGGCCAAGGCAGAGGTGGTTAGGGGCGATCAGGCCAGGAGGGGAAGGCAGTTAGAGGTGATCAGGCGGGGGGGGGGGAGGGCATTTGGGGGCAAGTAGGCTGACAGGGAGGCAGTTGGGGGCGAGCAGGCTAGTGGGGGGTGGGCAGTTGGGGGCAGGAAGGCCGGTGGGGGACAGTTGGGGATGAGCAGGTCAGCAGGCAGAGTGGTTAGGGTGATCGAGCAGGCAGGCAGGTGAGCAGTTAGGAGCCAGCAGTCCAGGATTGTGAGGAACTCTGAGATCAGGCCTTAAGCAGCAATTGGACATCCCCAAGGAGTCCCAGATTGGAGAGGGTGCAGGCCAGGCTGACGGATACCCCCCACCA